TGGCTTTCTCTCCTTTTCTCGGCTTCTTTGGAAGCGGAGAGGTTGACTGTGATGTGTGCGATGGAGTGGAAAGTCTGAAGGACTTTGAGAACAAGGGGAAGGTCACCGGAGGAGGGGGGGGAGCTGGAATAGCGAAGCGAAGGCGTGCAAACGCTCCCCTTGCACGGGTCCCGTTCTGTGGCTTTAAGAGGGAGAGCGCCTTTGGGTACAGGAGGCAAAGTCTCGCCTTGTGATCCCTAAGCGCAAAGGATGGTTTCCCCCCCCCTTGCCCAGGAAGAACGCCTCAGAAAAGTTAAAACATTACGACAAGGAGCGGGGCCCCCTCCTGCGCACCTCCGTGGCTCAGGATGCAGTACTGTTGCAAGACCGGGTCAGATTAGAGAAATTTTAAGCCTCTTGTTCCCAGAATTGGAGACTGTTGCAAGACCGGGTCAGATTAGAGAATTTTTAAGCCCCTTGTTCCCAATATTGGAAACTGTCTGGGGTTCAAAACAGGCAGAGGTGCCTAATACGAACACGCAGATATTTCAGGCAGATCTTCAAAATCACTTGTTACAGACTTAAATTTAGTCACCCGTTTGTTTGTTTGGTGAATTATATTTGTTTCCTCCCCAGCCTTTTTCTCCAATGAATTCATGGTGTTATGTTATACATGGCTTTTCTTCCTTTTATTCTCACAGCAGCCCAGTGAAGTAGGTAGAGGCAGGCTCAGAGAGGTTGACTGGCCCCTCAGGGAGTGTTGCGGCTCACTGAGGACTAGAACCAGCATTTCTAATTCTGGCTCTTGACACCTTAAGGGCTGCCCTAGGCTGGTTCTTTTGTGCTCATCATTCAAGATCAAGAATGCAAATAGGTCAAAACCCCCACCCTGCTGCGTGTTAAGGTGGAGTGAGAAAACAAGGGGCAGCCCCATACTAAGGGTAGTTAAATCATAGTAGTTCATCCAGAATCAAGATTTTAGTTATTTGTTTAAGACAGATTTTTACTGTCACACTTTTAACAACGAGTGCTTTCAGATGGAGGCCTCTTAGTAGTATTACCAATCAAAAGATATTGTGGAGCTGTTCTCTCTGGTTTCTTTTATGGGGAGGAACAAAAAAGATGAAGAAATGGTAAGGAACAAACACAGGAGGGCTTCTGGGGGAATCACATGAATAAAACAGGGCAGTTGCATCATCATCATCATCATCATCATCATGATAAATCCCATCCAAAAGCAATCAAAAGATATTGTGGAGCTGTTCTCTCTTTCTTTTATGGTTTCTTTTATGGAGAGGAACAAAAAAGATGAAGAAATGGTAGGGAACACACACAGGAGGGCTCCTGGGGGGGGATCACATGAATAAGACAGGGCAGTTGCATCATCATCTTCATCATAATGATAAATCCCATCCAAAAGCGCACAAGCTGATACTAATGGGAGCTTCCTTCCCATGTCAAAGAGCAGCTTCAGGAGAGCGGCAGCTTTTGCTGAGATTGTGACCTGGGAGGAAATGTTTCAGTCCCCTTTCCTTTGGGTGCTGTGGTTCCAATCAATCCTGATCAGATTAACACACACACACCTCCCTCAAGTGGCTGTTAGTAGCAATTCTTAGAAGAAAGATACATGCAGTGTTTAACATAAGATGTACATTAGTTTGGAACAGCACCCTGTCCAACTGAACTGCAAGCCTTTGTGTTTGCTTTTTTATAGTCACAAGCAGGAAACGGGAAAAGTGTAATACAAGCGGATTCTCCTATTCTTTCCCTCACTCTAGGTGGGTCAGGATTGAGACACTATCAGTGTAACAAATGGACATGCAATGTATCAACAGTAATTCAAATTATACTATATTAGGTAAGAGCTTTTTTTTCATTTCGAGTAACTTTTCAAAGTAGTGGAGAGCAATAATCAAGTTATCACCCTGCTGGGAGAGTAAGTGGACACAGCAACTCAAACAGATTGGCACACTGTGCTTCTCACTGGTGGTGTGTGAGTTTTGTGTGTTTGTAGCCTGACACAGCAAAGCATATCCTGCCATCAGCTGCTGAATATTAGTGACAGGAGAGCAGAAAATCTAGCCCATGTGACTCTCACAGATTTTACCAATTGATCCTGAGATAGTTCAGTCCAGGGTTAATCTTTCCTGTTGGACTTGAGAAACTGTGTTCTGAAAACACAAAAGTACTGGTTACTGTAATTTGGTGCATCCTGTGTGGTTGTGGTAGTTAAGAGTTTTAGTGGAGACATGGGAGGTCCCGGCTGTAATCCCCACTGAGCCATAAAACTGACGGGATAATTTCGGACTCCTTCCTCTTTCAGCTTGACCCGTCTTAGAGGGTTGCTGCAAGAATAAGAATAAGTTGGTGGGGAGAAGGAGAGCAGTACACACCCTCTTGAGCTCGTTATAAGAAGGGAGAGTAGATACAATGTGCTGATAAAGAAATAATAAGTAAAGCCAGGATCCTGTCCAGGCGAACCCTTGGTGCAAAGGCTATAGCACAGATCATTTAAAGTTTACAGAATTTGTGCAAGGAGGTAACAAGGGCTTCCTTGCACAAATGTAACTTGCTTTGAAAAAAAAAAACTGGACTCCATGCTTGCATAAGAGCAACGCTTGCAAAATTGGAAGATTCCCCTGCCTCTGCAATGCTAGACCATTAAGTCCTGCCAGTGCAAAGTACAAATACGGCCTTAATATGTAATAAGTATAACTGAACGTGACCGATAAAACTACTTAGTTTCTCCTTGGTTGACTCGGTAAATGAGAATTTGTGCTTTGGGGGGAAAAGGCAACATTAGGCCCAGTTTTGCTTTGTGTGTGGATTGCCAGGCATTTTCCTTGCAGCTGTGTTAAATGGAAATGAAGAGAGGGTTAGAACGGCATCAAACTCTCTACTGGTAACAGCTGGCCACCTTTATTTCCTTCTGCAAATGTAATACACTGTGGTGTGCAGAGTTGCCAGCAGATGTCACCTCCCTGTGTTGGAGAGCAATCAGGAATAGTATCTCTGAAGATCTGGGGAAGGAGTATCTCCCCTTCTCTTGTTCTCTTTCTCTCTGTCAGTATCTCTCCCGCTGGAGCTGAGCTTGGCGAAGATGGGCTTTGTTAGCCCCCTACCCTCTTATAAGGCAAACCTATTGTCATCATCTGTTGAAGGCCTTTGAGCATCTGCAGCCCACAGCACTTACTGCATTCTCGATTAAACTGACAACACTGCTAGGTCAAAAGTCCAGAATAATAAGGGGGGGCTGTGGCTGGTGGGGGGGTTGTGGGGGGGGTTGACTGGGGGAGGAAGGAGCATTCCTTTAAAGAAAGGACATCTGGCAACCCAGCTGCTGGTTATTGGCTCCTTGATTTACTGGGGTCAAGTAGTGGGGCTGAGAATTAGATTATTTAATTAATCAGAAGGCACTGGCATGTGGTGGGGTATGAGGAGAGACCCTCCTACACAAATCTCACCAAAGTAATCTCAGATCTGGAGAGGGGGTGTCTTGTAGTGGTGCCACAAAATATTAGGTTTTTGTTTACTACATCTCCTAGAATCCCCAGCTGCTGACTGTGTTAGCTGGGTGGTTTGGGGAATAGTAGTCCAAACAAATCAAGTTCACAGGTTTTACCTTGAGAGCCAACCAGCCAAACACGCTCTTTGATGCAGGAAATGTCAAGCAAAAGCATTCGTTTACTGAGGTAACTGGTCTATGTTTAGATTCCTCCAGCAAAGGACAGTCCATCACCACTGTAGGGCAGTGGTCCCCAACCTTGGGCCTCCAGATGTTCTTG